AACGATGATAAGTTATCGTTTAAAAGTTTGCATGGCTCGTAAAAGATCACTTTCAATTGTACATGATATAAAATAAGTACAACGATGATAAGTTAGCAACCTAAATGGTCGTCTAGAGGGCTCTGGTCGTCTAGAGGGGCTCTGGTCGTCTAGAGGGCCTCTGGTCCCGAAGGACTTGGAGTCCAGAGCTCTGGTCTATACAACCAGAGGCTCTGGTCATCCAGAGGGCCTCTGGTCCCGAAGGACNTCCAGAGGGCCTCTGGTCCCGAAGGACTTGGAGTCCAGAGCTCTGTTCTATACAACCAGAGGCTCTGGTCGTCCAGAGGGCCTCTGGTCCCAAAGGACTTCCATACTTGGCCATTTAATCACAGCAGAAAACTTTGGATCTTTCATCCTTAACATACAGTGCTTAATAAGACTTTTAGGATAATAAAGATCAATTACAGCACCAAAAAACATATCAAATACCAAAGGCATCACTACCAAAATAGAGTATACATGTGCACCACACCCCTCTTCGTCTATAGGGCCCGTGCAAAGTATTCACACCTGGCTCCCTACCAATCGGGATACGTGAATACGACAATCGGTATGCCACACCCAACCTCCCTCTCYTTGGGATACGTGGACATACACCATGCTACGGCATATCACACGAAGTAATACCCCTAGATCATGGTTTATCAAAAGGCCAAATAAACAGTCTCGGATCCGGACTCAACCACAACGTAAAAGGATTAAGAAATACCAAAACAAAGTTAGGGAAAATTCACCTTACAAAATAACGCATGCAAAATCAGCAACTTTGCAGTAAGAATTCATATACATATACTATATATAAGTATAAGTTCGGTATAAACTCACAGTGCTTTATTATAAACAACCGAACGCGGTAACATCCAATTACAACCAACAATAGCATTAAACCTTCAGAGGCTCTAAATAGCCTTAAAACAGCCCCTGGAGTAAACATTTCAAGTATCAATAACCAACTATATCCCAACCTCAAGTTATACACTTTAGATCTTGATTATCCTATTTACACTTTCTTGTACAACCCTTTGTTCAGCCCCTGTTTTACCACACTTAGACTCAGATTTAACCATTGACCTATTAAATAAAGTATCCTCTTAAAGCTTTCTAATGAAACTGACCTCACATTTTTAAGATTTTTCTGTGATTTGTTATGAATTTTTAACACAGCAGCATCAAAGCTGTCAAAATCCAGCTTTATAACTCACTGCATGTTGCAGATTTTACCCAATTTAGCTTCATTTTCACACATTAATCAACATTATCTTTATAATCTTTCAAATGCAGAACCTAACCTCTAATTTAACACTTCTACGTGAAATAAACTTGTAATTAGAAGCATACATTTGATGATTAACACATAATCCTCAAGAATCTAACATGGATCATCAAGGATTGAAGGATTAGTCTTAAGTGTGTGTAAATCGCACCTTGACTGTGAGAATTCTAGAGGTGAGAAAATATGACTGATTTAGAGAGCTAGGCATGGTTTTGACCTGTTTTGGTCAACAGTCCACCTAGTTTGCCATAGTTGGCAGATTTAGTCCCTCATGCGTAACTTGGTCGTTTCAACTCCGTTTCACACGAAACTTTCCGGATCTCCTAATTGATATATATAAGAAGCTTAAATATAAAATTCCAGCCTCTAACTCGAACTAGAAGTCCAAATTCCAATCTAACTTTAGTAAGTACTAATCCCTAAAATACTATACTAACTTAATTAATCATACTTAGCAACCTAAATGGACTTTTAGAAAGTTGGATGTTACAGTATCGTAGCCCTTGGCTTCCCAGGAGGTCAAGGGTTCAAACCTCACCAAAGGTGAAGAGGGTGTGTGAGTTTATTTGTTGCATTTGCCGTATATAAATATTATATACTTCAAAAAAAAATAAGTACAACGATGATAAGTTTTTTAAATGTTAGAAATTTATATAGCGATTAATAAAATGAGAATTTTATATATTGTAATAATTTACGAAAAATTTTATCTTAAAATATTGTTTTACATGATTTTTTTCAATCTAAAACTAACATTTAATGTTTTTATGAACATATATTCATTTGGCAATGTGTTTGGTTCATATGTATTCAGTTCACAATGTACAATTATTTTACATATAACTTTTTATCGTAAACAAACTAAAAATATGAAAAAAAATACATATAAAACAAACATATTGTGAAACAAATATATGTTAATCAATATTCTAAATATTAGTCTTAGATGAAAGAAAATCATATAACCACGATATTTTTTATTTTAAAATATTGTTTTACATGTTCTTTTTTCAATATAAAGCTAGTTAGTATTTAATGTTTTGATAAACATATATTTGTTTCATAATGTGTTTGTTTCGTATATTTTCAGTTCATAATGTGAAACTTTTTCATGTATAATTTTTGTATCATAAACAAACTAAAATTAAATATTCATATTGTGAAACAAATATATGTTAATCATCATTCTAGGTACTAGTCTTAAATGAAAAAATAACTTGAAATAACACATGATACACAAGGTTATCTCAATTTTTAAAGCCTCTTTTATCTTAAATATTAATTCGTTATAAATTAATATTAATTATTTGGATGATGAAAAAATACATCATAAGATACAATTTAAAGTTTTGCATGGCAAATG